GGCGAATGGGTAGGGTATACTTTGAAACAGCAGGGATGTATTTTTGCCCACTCGTGGACTCAAAAGCCCCAGGAATAGGCACTGGTGTGCGAATAAATGCATCTTCCAATGATTAGCGGGAACTGAATAGTCTCCAATGCATTGGAGTGGTCATTCAGAATGGGATAGTTTATCACTTTATGCGCCATGCAGACACTAACAATTTGCATTCAGTTGTGCTTTTCACAGGTGATTATTGATAACATGGAGGAATTGCACAGAATATGCACTGTCATGAAGACTGGTAATGTTCACTCAGAAAATTCGCTGGTAGCCACACCATCACGCATAAAGCTGCACAATGCGCTCGGCGGGCATGGGTCAATAAAACTGAAATGACCACAAAACGTCTTCTACCTGTTTCAAGTGAGTGCCTTGATGTACAAAACTGAAAATGTGGCTTTACTATTACCTTAGAAAAAAAGTTTTGTTTAATATACAAAGTTAATTTCGTTTCTTGATACCAGTGGGGCTGTTTTACAGTGACAGTTCGGGTCAAGGTTTTCAATAGTCGTCACAAGAGATCGAAAAACAACTTGCTCCAAATATGGTACTTTGGAATGCATATGCTACACGTAACAATTACCACTGTTTGCTTAACAGAATCCTCAGAAACGTTTGTAAATCGAGTAAATACCCCTTTGCAAAGATAAAGCGTGAGAAGCAGATAGTAAACAAGACACGTGATTGGGCCTCCTGCATTAAAAACCGGTCAGGTTAATGCATGCCAGCTGTGGAGTTATGTGGTTTGATTTTTTTTGGTGCACGAGATTCACACTTTCTGAATGCAAAGACGAGCCCAATAGAAATCCTCCAGCTTTTGAAGTAGGCCTATTTAAGTTCTTTATTACTTTGAAATGTAGAAGGGAAACTTACTTGCTGGAAAAGCCTGACTCTAGTTCTGTGACGCATGATGACCATGAATCGACATGAATTCAAAACGGCAAACAAAGCCCGGGACACCATTTTCGTTTTCAATTTTTCTGTCGAATTACGTCATGATTAATATGACAATTCAAATTAGGACTTCGATGAAGCCGTTGATCCCCCGCCCCGGAGTTGAAAAGGAACCCGCGTTGATACCCTCTGTTGTCCCAATGAACCTGCTAATTTCACCCTCCAGTGAACCTTACATTGTAAGTATAACATTGTAACACTGATAGGTGTGTAAATTAACACCAGCTGTGTTAAAGTAACACCCTATGGTGCGGTAATCTGATATAACCGGACTAAAAGAAATCGATTTTAACACCACAGTTTTTGCAGTGCACCATTCTGTTGTCGTACATAGGTCAGGCATCCAAGGGTTGTTTATTTTTGAGTCAAATGGTTGAAGTTACGTCACGAGGCATCCAGCGAATCACATCAGACCTGTGTCCAACACCCCAGTCAACGGAGTTTTCAGACCGAGACGGTATACTTGCATCCCAACAGACACGTCGCTAGCCGCTTCAGGGAACTTCTGGTTCGTGCCTCCCGACCTCCCGCTCTGAAGAGGAGGGCGCCCTCGCTAGAACGCTGCAACCAGATGGGCCTGGCGTCATAGTACTTTTACAATGATTCACACATCTCTAGATTTCACCTCTGAGAAATTTTGTTTGGTGGTCTTCACTGTGATATATATATTTGAGCACACAACATATAGTATTACCCTGAAAACAGTCATTTTCAAAACAATAAAATGAAACACCTTTTTTGTATTTTCGTTCCAATAAGAGTGATGCAATGTGTTAGTCTTTCTTCGAGCGACATGTGTCTGATTTTCGTGTGATAGCAAGAATTTAACAGCATGCAAATCGCGATTTGGTCCGCGCGGGCAATCGAGGGCCTACGCAACCTTAAAGTTCAGTAGGCCTAATGCAAGCAAGGACACTTTGGACAGTTTTCAGTGAAGAATTAGAAACACCGGGGACAGGCTGTCCCCATGCACTTTTGTCCTCTCCAACTCAACTATATTTTAGATATCGTATTCGGAAAGAAATTGCTGTGTCGCAGGGTTAACCTCAGGAATAGAGTGGCCTTACGTTTGTTACTACTAAGGCAATTTTCATTTTTTTTAAATTTTAGTGTTAGCCACCCTGAGGCCCAGGTTTAAATGTAGCCGCCCACCTGCCTCTACCCAAGGTCCTCTAACAAGTTAGAGGTTTTTGTAAACGAAAACCAGCAGCTGGAATTCCTGAGTCCTAAATGCTTCCCACAATCAATCGTGGTTATGGCACTTTTTATTATGAAGAAGTGGTGAAATAATAAACTTTAGGAGTTGTGGCTCAACCGATGAGTTTTCGAAGTGTTTCTGCCAGAAGCGAAAATGCCTCGGAATAGTCTTGATGTCCGCCCATTGCCATTTGAAAGTTGATTGCCTTCACTCCATTGCAAATTATAGCATATCGAAGGGCCTCGTTTTGATCAATACTTTTAGAAATTCTTGTTGGTAACTTCCATCCTTCTTACTAAACAAACCGTTCAGTACACGTGCTACTAAATGCTCTTATAGCAGAGAATTTGACAGCGTGAAAATCTTAATTTGGTCCGGGCAAGCAAATTTGGGGCTATTTATTGGCCTGCAACTTTTAGCACTGTACTGCACACAAAATGGCAGCCATTTTGGTTCCGAAGTTGACAGTCGGCGCTACTCTTTCTAATTATCACTCTGCAGCAGGGTCCTTCCTTTGGGCCCAGCAGGCACTAGCCCACATTTCACACGTCTGTCTTATGCTCTTACATTTGGGGTGAAGTGGGTACAAACTGTTTCCAACCACACAACTCTTGGTAAATTATGGAGAGGGGACAGCCTTTATTGCCTTTACTAGCGAGAGGGTATACTCGCGCACTGAGTGACCTGTGAAGTTTTAGATATCATTACTTAAATTTAGATTTTAAAGCTGGAGAACCTGTTTCTAACGCGCCTTGCTTTTTTCCAGCAGCCTGGCCTTGTAGTCATTACAGTGGATGGGAAGGAATAAAACTGGCTGGGATGAGAGTGTCAGTAACAAAAGGTGGCTGCAGACGCTGGTTAAAACTAGGTTACATTGACGTACATACATGTACATTCATTTCAAACCTCAGCCCCAAACTTTGGGACGACGCCATTTACGAAGTGGAGGGGGTGTCTATTGCAAAGTGACCGTCAACACATTGAACCTTCAAAGAATCATATACTCATGCATATCTAGACTGCGCGGATTGAAAGGGCTGAATACGTGACCTCAAGAAATAAACGTTTTGACTTGTAGGCAGCGTATTCGTTTGCTGTGAAGAAATGGAATTCTCGTTCTGTTAATCTCTTTCGTCTCGATGTTGCTTTTACCAATGTCCTGATTGCAACCTGTCACTCTCAGACTGCCACTAACGATAAAGGGGTCGTGGCCAGCCAGCTAAAGTGGAGCAGCGGGGAATTTTTGTTAGACACAATTTTTATCTGCAACTTAGTACTCTCTTTCAATGTATGGACACTCTTTTACTTTTCTGTTTGGTAAACTGCATTGCAAAGGGCACTTTTTTAAAACACGTAATATAATCCGTGCTTTCCAAGACAACTGAGGGCGCTATTTCTGTGACGCCATCAAGGGAAGAGACAGTTTAGTACATCAGTTGGTTTACACTGTGAATCCGGAATATACTGACTAAAATATTTCTCAGACAGGGATTGATGCTTGCTTATTACTAAGTACACAAACAACAACGGATCGGCAAAGCAGAAACAAATGAACCCCGGACAGTCTATAAAAATGCTGGACTTCTTCCTGGGATGACATCACAGGTTTGCTCACGAATATATAGCATATACAAGTTATCGTAACAACTGAAAAGACAGTAAAATACCCCTTGGAACAGAAAAGAGAAGTTAGAAATAAGGTGAACTGACACGCAAAGGGGCATTTTGAAGGTTTATTTCAACCATATTGATTGTGAGCGATATATTTTGTTAGCACTTGGTCAGCACAGGATGTGTTGGGAAGGACCACAAGCCGAGTGGAAAAATCACATTAAACATTCTGAATTCTTAACATTATACTCTGTATTGGTCTTTAGTTCTGATGAACCTTCAGTGGTGTGGATGGAAATTGTCGAAGGTACAAACAAACAAAATGGGCATAAATTTGTGCTGGGGACTTGCCCGGTTGCGTATATTTTTTTCCAAACAAAATCCAACAGTTTCGAAAGAGGGCGCCCTCTGTAATTATGCATTATTTATAATCCTGTCCACCACTCTAAGGAGTGGTTATATAATAAGGTAAAAAGGTTTAAAATTCACTGTATCTGTTGACGACAAAGATGTGCAAATTAATATTTTCATCACTAATGGCGTTTAAAAAGCTTCCGTATTTCATTCTCTCTATCAGTTCTGTTGAAGACATTTTCGATGTTGGGAGTTGGAAAACATTTTCGTTGTTGGGAGCACGGACGTATA